TAATCATGTTGTTCATCGGATTTAACATGTTGACTATGACACTCGACCATTACCAACAGACCAAACTATTTACTGACGTATTAGAACGTCTTAACCAAATATTTATCGCTATATTTTCAACCGAATGTCTATTAAAGATATTTGCATTGCGGTATTATTATTTTAAAGAGCCGTGGAACCTATTTGACTTCGTTGTTGTCATACTTTCCTTAGCGGGTACATAGTGAAATAATAACATTACATTACATGCAATTTTCTTTTCATAACACCTGGTTTGTCTTCTACAGGTTTGGTGTTGAGCGATTTGATTTCCAAGTATTTTGTGTCACCGACGCTGCTTCGAGTGGTCAGAGTGGCCAAGGTGGGCCGAGTGTTGCGTTTAGTAAAAGGAGCCAAAGGCATCAGAACTCTACTGTTCGCTTTAGCCATGTCACTTCCAGCGTTATTCAACATATGCTTGTTACTGTTTCTCGTCATGTTCATTTTCGCCATATTTGGTATGTCGTTTTTTATGAACGTAGATAGCCACGGAGGCTTGGATGACGACTACAATTTCCGTACTTTCGGGCAATCGATGATACTTCTTTTCATGGTAAGTTGCTATAGAGTGAGTCCCATAAATGTCTAATACATGTCACTGATAAAAACAGTGTGATCCTATAAACTATTATATTATAATACCATAACATAACATAACCTAGTCTATCAGGTTGTTGATCAGTTACATAAATACTTTCAGCTGTCTACGTCGTCCGGTTGGGACGCCGTACTGGATGGTATAACGAACGAGGAAGACTGTGATAAGCCGAACTTAGAGATGGGTATCACGGGCAGTTGTGGCAGCAGTGCTGTGGGCACGGCGTTTTTGCTGTCTTACCTGGTGATCAACTTCCTCATTGTCATAAACATGTACATCGCGGTCATCCTGGAAAACTATTCTCAGGCCACAGAAGACGTGCAGGAAGGCCTCACGGACGACGATTACGACATGTACTACGAGATATGGCAGCACTTCGACCCCAACGGCACCAGATACATTCGGTACGACCAGCTGTCGGATTTCTTAGACATTCTGGAACCACCACTGAAGATCCACAAGCCGAACAAGTACAAGATCGTGTCCATGGACATACCGATATGCAAGGGCGACCTAATCTACTGTGTAGATATCCTAGACGCGTTGACCAAGGACTTTTTCGCGCGGAAGGGTAATCCCATCATTGAGACCGTGGCCGAGATCGGAGAGATGCAAACGCGACCCGAAGAGGCTGGATACGAGCCCATTAGTTCGTCTCTGTGGCGCATGCGCGAAGTTTATTGCGCAACAATTATACAGAGCTCGTGGCGCAAGTACACGATGGCCGCCAAACAGCAGACGGCGGACGATGACCGGAGCGACGGGGCCGCTTCGCCGGACGGTCGTGAAACCGCCGTGTTGGTCGAAAGCGACGGGTTCGTAACCAAAAACGGTCACAAGGTGGTCATTCACTCGAGGTCGTCGTCAAAAAGCTCAAGACTCGCCGACGTCTAAAACGCCACACAATACGTCCGTATTGCGAAAACAATGTATTTTGTACGTTATTATTATTATTATTATTATTAATGATATTATTTATATTTATTACGATTATTATGGCAAAATTTACGATTGAGGCTTCATATTATATAATATTGTTATATTCTTGATTTTCACTTAACATTTTGAACACTCTTATAATATTACTATTGGCCAACTGCTGTGATATATATATATAAATTTAAAAAAAAAATATTTTATAATTTGTAGTGTTTAAGGTTTAAACGAGAGCTTAAAATGATTATTAAGTGATATTATGCGTTTGTTAACGATGTTATTTTTTTTTCTTAAGCATAGTGTTTTGTATCCAGCAATGAAGTTAAATTACTCAAACAAAACTTCACGGCTTATACACACCATATTAAAATACTTGTATTATTGTTACTATTATGTTTATTATTTTTCAAATTTCATAATTTTATTAATGTAAAGTTTTTAATATAAAATACACAAATATTATTATATTTTCACATGAATATGTCCAAAAAATTATTACAGTTAAAACAAAAATAAAAAAATGTATTTTGTTTAAAGCATCGATACTTGGACGTTGGACGTTGTTACTGAAAATCGTTATGTAATAAGTTATGTGCTTTTTATGAGCACATACATTTTAAATTTATTTATTGGGGGCCTTTTTGGGATAGCCATAGACCATAGCTCTTTTAAATTTTATACTTCCTAATAATGTTGGTATTTTAATCTTAAGAGGTTAAGACTTTTAATTTTTAATTTACCTAGATTTTGTAATGATTCTGAGCAGAATAATAATTTTAGTTCTATAGATCATGAATTAATAATAATATAGTTGGTCCTTTTAAAAGTACAGGCGTTGTGCAGAATAATTTAAATACCATTACTGGATTTAATACACTTATACAATTGTTTAGTTTTACGAACATAAAATAATTAATAATAATTAAGTTGGATTGAAATTCAATTTATTTTTGACCATAATAATATTATGTTTTCAATTTTACCTTCCCAGATAACAATTTGAATGTTATCATGTTTGGATTATTCTCACTTTCATATTCATATGTTATTTTGTGAGTTCAAGTGGTATAATTAAGAATAATTAGTCCTTAATATATTTTTAAGAACATAAGAAGCAATAACAATAATACTATGAGGAATATGCATGTATATTAAACCTATAAAGTAAATGGTAAAATCTATATGATACTATTTAAGAACAATATGACTGCAAGAGGAATGATATTTTCGTACTGAATTATAATACATCAAGATAATTATATAATATATTATTATTATTTAATTTAGATGTTTAATCTATATTAAGCATTATTAGTAGGTATAATATTATTTCATAATATACTATACAATTCTTTTGAGTAAAGTCTATGAAACCATCGAACATTTACCGAATCGTATGTGGTTGACAAATTTAACAATATTTATGATGTTCACGATAATGATGTAGGAACAATTCCAACCATCCAATATATCCGATTTCTACCACCTCATAACTTGTGACACATTTTTATGAGAATATGTGATATTTTGAATCACTAATTAAGTTTTATTTAAAATATTCGTATAATCTATGAATATGCACTAAAAGTTAGCAAAATTATAAACAAATAATAAACAATAATGCAATAATTTGCATTTAGATTTGTCCCTTATTTATGAGATTTGACTAGGACATAGGTTAAGGATCTAGGACTAAGGTAGTGGCCGTAATTTATTGGTTAATACGTACAAATTAACACACAATAGATAACGTTATTCAATTTTGCAATAACAATTATGATGAATTTGACACTCAGAATGAAACTTGAAACTGAGCCTAAGCTTCATAAGAAATTAAGCAGAAGATATCCATTGAATATTATATTGTTAGAGTATTATTTTTTCTTTTCATTTCACAATGCTATACAAAATCTGTACAAATTAAAGCACAATGAGCATATATGATAATGGCTATAATACATAATATGATGACTGGCACTTGATTGGGATGTTTGGTTATCAAACTGAATCATTATTTTTTTTCTCCCCTTGGTTTCCTAGCAAGTCCCGGGATCAGTTCCTTTTTGTGGGCGTCGCCTGGGGTCGCCAGGTAAGGTTTGGGTGGTACGTTTTTGATGAGTTGGTTTTGGTGAGTTTGAAAACGGGTATGAACATTTTCTTTTAATCTTGCAGTTTCTTTTGACACATTTTTAATTAAGAGGTCTTTATAGTGTAATTGGATACAAAGAGTGGGGCATGCGCTGTCTTCCTAAAGGCTATATTCTGGAAGTGTTGGATGTTTGTTGGTATTGGACACTTTTGCAGTACCTCATAATTTAAGACTATACGTCCATAGTGGTTCAATAGTAAGTAAGTAACGTTTTGTGCATAAGAACTTTAACTTTTAATCTTTAGTGTAAAAAATCCTGTGGATACGGGCGTTTAACTTCAGTCTCTTAATACGGATATGTCTATTCCAAGTGTGGCGCTTATCCAAGTTAAGTCTTAGGTATCAACTGGGTCAGATTTGGGAATAATTATTATAATATATATTGAAGCGTAGCATACTTTTTGTTGAATTACACAATAATGCATACAATGCAAAATTTAAAATGGACATAATAACTATCAAAAAATATTACATTTGTAATATTTTTAGTATTTGAATAATATGCGTAATAGCAGGTATACATTTATATAAAATTAAATTTAAAAAAAAAAAGCCTTTGAGTCAATACCAACTCATCGTAAAACATTCATTTATGTTTACGTATACATAATGTCTGGTCGGTGGTTCTAAATACACAATACCATACAACAATTAATAATCTAAATATTTTGAAAATATCATTGTGTATCTATATAAAATATATAATAATATATTTAAAAGTTTCAAGTCCCTTCGAATAATATTTTTGAATTGCAACAACAAATTTCAATCATTATTCATTGCTTAAACATTTAATTTAGACTAAAATTGAGCTTTAAATGTTTATGAAAAAAAAATAGTGTTCAAGTTGGTATTTTAAATATTTCTAAGTTTCTAAAAGAATATATTTTGAGGAATATTGTATTTGAGTATAAAAAATGATAATTTAAATAAACGATGCACATAATGTTTTCTTCAGTCCAATTGATTTCCCCCCCGGACCCACAGCACTGAGAGTGAGTTAAGGTCGCTTCAACTAATTTATACGAAAAACAATGTTTCTTCGTTTAACACTTTTTAAGTAGGTACAACAAAATAACTAAAACCAATTGATGAATCATTATTGTTTTTTTATATCTGTGAATCTCCAATTGTGTCAAAATGTATACCTTTAGTTGGTCATAAAGATATTTGTGAAAAGACTGTAAAATTTTTTTGAATTCAAGAATATAATCAAAACATTTTTTTTAACATTATTTTTCTTAAAAAAAAATAGAACTTATTATTTTATTCAAAAATATCACAAGCATATTTTGTGAAAAAATGTAACATTTCAATGTTATTATGATTTAGGCTGTCGTCGTTTTGGTGGTGTTTGTTTATTTGATCTTTGTGTAACACAACATTTGTGATTTTCTTCGATTTCTTGTAACAGTTTGATAACCGCACAGTTTACTCCTATAAGAAGCGATTCTGATGGTGCTGGAACATTTTTGTATGCATTTTTCACAAAAACCAAGTTTCTAAAACCGACGAGCGTAGCATAGGTAATCGTATGATTCCATTAAATATAATCGCTTACTATGAATTATGACCTACCTGATATGAACACAACTGGTGTCTTCTGGACTGGGCGGTGGTTCGTATTGAGCAGTTGAAGTAGAAGGCATACTGTAGTCACAATTATTAGCCATGAATGAAGTAGCTGGTTGCTGTTTTTTAGAGTTATTAAATTTAATTGTTTTTTTATTTTGACAATTGTTTTCGTCGGGCGATGACATGTCCAACACTAAATACAAATACCGTAAGTGATCGATGATGTTGTTTTTATTTTGTTAATGCGTAATAATAATACTTATATGAGTAAAAATAATATGTTTTCACGAAACCACTAATCGGCAGTAATTATTATTAGGTAGTCATTAAAAATACTAGCATGATGTTTAGTATACATAGGATGATGTAACTATAGTAATGACTTGGAAACAAGAATGGTTGTTTGTCATTGATTATACAGGTATTAATTTAAATGTTAAGTATTTTTTTTCATAAATTTGATGCTGCTGTTGTAAAACAAAAATAGTGATTGACGTTTTTTTTCAGCATGGTTAACAAAAGTAGAATATCAAGAATTTGATACTAAAGAATTTCTAGTTTATCCTAAGAGTTTAAAACGTAAAAGAAAAATGTGTTATCATAATCATTAAATTAATGATGGTTTGTAATGACGAACAATGTAATAATAATAATAATAATAATAATAATAATATGAGTAATTGTATTATTAATAATCATTTAATTATATTAATAATACATGTTATACTGAATACCATCTTCAGAGATTTCGCAGTTTCGATTGCGTTTGTAGGATCCTGTAAGTATACGAAAAATTGGCAGTAAATAGGTAGGTAGGTTCTACATTTTAAATGCAAATAACAGTAATCTATAAAAATATATATAACATAAAAATCATGGTATGGTCCAAATAGTGGGTTTAAAAGAATACACTTTTTTTTCTCAATTTTTTTTATTAAAGAGACAAACAAATTATTGCAAAATATGAAATGTACATTATTAAAAAATATCCGTAGGCAATATTATCCGACAATTTTCGTACCGCCAAAGAGGGAAGGACATGCCGGTGCGAAAAACGTCGCATACATATTTTGTTTACATTATTCAGCGTTGTCCTTGTCTCAGATACAGCAGATAACAATATAATTAAATTAATTTGGTTATTAATTTGTTTAGTATAAATTTACCCCGAAACAATAATAATAACGTCTCTTAAAAAGTATGCGTAAAAACAATAATTTTGTTAACCCTTTAAGCAAAAATTATAGGTAAGAGGGTGTTTACACAATACTTATCATCCATCAATTAACAATTTTTTACAATATTTTCTAAATCTTAAAACTTTCAACAATATTCAAAAGTGTAACAAAACGATTTTTCAATATTTTTTTTCAGTAGTACAAATTTTGAATCTAAAAATAACAGTGCGTTTAGGACGAGTTTAATTGGTTGTTTTCCAATAAAAATGCATCGTTACAAAATTTGTGCGTTTTTCGAGTGATTGAGTCAAGCGTTTTTTTTTGTTCTTTAAGAAAAAAGGTCATATTAAGTATTTACGCTTCGTTTTCTTTAAATATTATTTTCTCTCCAAAAACTGATAGTTATTGAATGCTTTTAAAGCGAAAGCGACGTCATTTTGGTAACTCTAATCTACCTAACACATTTAATCTTGAACTAAAAACTTAACAGATTATAACAAATTTAACTAAAAGCTATGTTAAAATTCATTCATTATTAATAAATTAAATTTATCTAAAGCGCTTGATGTTATTTCTTTCTTTTCATTTTGGTGTTATCGCTTGTTCAATGTTAAATCCCATATTTTAAACACGTATGTATATATATATATATATATAAATAAATAAATTTATATATTATATATATATTATATATTTATATATATAGGACTGAATAAAAGCAATACAAGGTCAAGCCAAAACGAAAATGAATAGTGTCTACAAAGTAGATTATTTTATTATAAATCATCAATATACGTTTAATTATTTTTATTATTATTATTAAACATTTTTACAAATAAATTCGTTTGTTATGTACATTATTTTACTTTCTCTTGAAAAAGTGTTCGTCCGTAGACAAAAAACAAAATACAAACAAAACAAAAACGGGCGAAAATAAAATAAAAATTCAATCACAGATACGACGTATATAGAAATATCACAGATCATTTTATTTTAAACTGCGTATTTATTATTATTAAATATATGTAAATGTAGGTAATTAACTTTATTTTTAAAGGACTGTCAAATAAAGCCTGGTTTGCTGAATTGTTTTTTATGTGTTCTGATAATTATTTTTGATTGTATTATATTTTACAGTCTATTAGAAAAAACTGTTTTACCGGTCAAACTGTATAGTGTTACAATATTGAAAAGCGTGTCGAGCTTAATTACTAAATAAGTTGTTTTTATCGTTTAGGTTACCAAAATGACGTTCAGTATAATGTATACAATAAGTTAAGTGTGAATATACTTTAGCGAGTATAACTTAAGCTCTTCAGTGTCATTTTCACAGACCTACCTAAAACAACACCACAGGCTTTTGTAAGTGCATGTGCAATGGAAATATTCAAACATGCGTAAAAAAATCACATCTGGCACGGTAGGGATCGAAACGTTGAATTACCGAATAATTTTTTTGATTGTGTTTTCAATTTAGTAAACGCTTACAGACATATCAATTATTCACGTTGGATGAAAAGAAAAGAAATACCCACTGAAATTTACACGGAAAAATGTAATAATTCGATCCCTAGAAGTCGTGGAGAAAAACATCGTTATTTTTTATCCAATAACAGTGCACGTGTAATTCATTTATGGCATTTCTTACAGAACAAATGTAGTAATTTAAATTCTCAGTGCTTTGTTTCGCTTCTCTTTTATTTGTTCATTATTTTCATAAGAAAAAAAGAGAGAAAGTGAGCTGTTTTCCTAAACAGCGTGGTGTGTAGCCGGCTGAAGCGGTTCTAACAGCCGAGTTAATTATATGCTAGCATCTGAAATATAAAAAAGAAAAAAAAATTAAAAACAATAAAAGTGACATGAACAATAAATATTAATTATTTTTTAGTCAGGTATGTATTTTAATTTTTAATACAGTTTTCAAAATAAAACAAACAGTTATTTTCTATTTTAGATTATGAGTGTAGCGATGAATGTATTGGTTTCAGTGTCATATTTGGTTTTTGTCTATGTATTATCATCTTTTTGAACAGTAAAAATTCTTAAATTTTCAACTTTCAGAATGGTTTCTGGTAGAAGATAATTTGATATAAACGGTAAAAATAGTCATTATAAAATTAACACATCCAAAGTTGCCTACTACATTGTTACTTTCAGTGCCTACTATACAGCAGAACAGGTCACTGTTTTTTTAATTTCATCCTATCGAAAAATAAATTTGTTTCGTTGTTCCAATCGTATTAATATTAATGTAAAATTAAAATTTCATGCCAAAAATAATATCCTTTTAAGACATTATAATTGTATGATATGAAGTGTATGAATTATTTGTATAAATTGATTTATCATTACTTTAAACTATCCAGGTCGAAACTTTCCTTTTTGTAATCGTTTCCAACTTTGTTTCCTTGATGATTTCCGATCGAATTCCCAACTTGATTCTTTTTTGTTTTTTGTTTTACATCACCTGTGTTCACATAAAATGTATAGATAAGACGGAATTACAGATATTTATCATATTCTTATCATCTATCATTGTGTTCTTATATATTTTAATGAATTCTGTGTACATGAAAAAATCCTCTAACTCAATGCCGGGTTTTATCAAAACAGCTTACGTTTTTATTCGTTAATATAATTCCATAAAATTACTTTAAGTTTAATATAAATATATAATTGTGTAGGCATGGTTCTAAGTACCATACACACTGTCCAATGTAGAAAAACGAGAAACTTCTGAAAAAGAACACTGAAGGGAAATTTAATTTTAAAATAGGCCAATTTAAAAAAAAATTCTTGGAGCCATGGGTCTTACGTTTAAGATTTGGAATTCCGATGAATACAATATTTATTTTCCATTCTTAATTTTATAATGAATTTTTATTTTATTAAACTTGTAAATGTATACATCTTATTTTCACATTTGCCTTTTTGATAGACAATAAATATGTTTAATATCATACGTATCTAACACTGACCAAATACTCAACTATTAAATAAATACTTTTTTTAATCATTAAATAACTTAACTTCCTTATTAAACTCTAATAATAATATTCAATTGAACATAAAATGTTAGTAACTCATATTAATAAGCATTATTGAATGATTTTGAAATGGCCAATGTCTCAGCTATAGAACATATTATGTAGACAATGTCAAGATAATCCCATAATATACACTGACACACATCGATCTATTAAAGTAAAAATGGCCAGTGCCCCATGTATCGAACCATATCATTCTGTATCGAAGACATTGGTAGTTTTAGCCCAAGTAACATAATAAAATATTAAAGACATTTGCCAAATAATCTCAAATTTGTCCTATGTGACATTGGCCCTATTCTTGTAACAAGCTATAGAATTATTTTTATTTACCTTTACAGTTTAGTTACTAAAACGTATAAAAAAATTATATATTCATGTACCTGCTATATTTTATATACTGTTTGAAAATGAAAAAATAATTGTAGCCCGTTAATTTTTTTATGTTATACACATAATATTATGACGAACAAATAGTGCATTTTTATTGGCATTGATAAATGATGTCATTTATTTCTCAACGAATTGTTGTGGTAATAAATGTAAAGATATAGTAGTATTTTTAATTATATAAAAGTACCTGGTATTGTGAATTCCATCCCGTCACCAATTGTCATCTCCACTGGTTCTTTAGTGTCTTTAAATGGCGCTATAACGTCTACAATCGTTTCGTCAACAGGCAAGTCAATATCTCTGTCACGACCTATGAATTCACAAACGTAGGGATAATATAAGTAATCATTTTTTTGTTGATATCTACTACTACAGACTACAGTACTAGGTGTAATGTATAATACTATAATATTACACACGATATACATAATATATATATATGTTATACATTTTGATTTTATGCATAGGTATCGGTTAAAAGAAACGATGCGAAAACACATTATTTTATCAGTGGGTATCTATGCGTTTATTCATTAATTATTATAAAATATAATTTACGTATGTTATTATAATTATTATTATGATTAATTTAGAAGAATTTTGTTTTATTTATTAATATCTTTATGTATAACTTCATAATTATTAACTGGATAAATCATATTAAGAGGATGCTGTACAAAGATATATTTTGTCATCTCAGTATTACACGAGCTTCATACACCGAATGTACTCTCAGCAGATCACGTTTAGTTTTGTTGGATTAAAAGTTGGAGTGAATTGACCTATGCCTATACCTAACTTGATGGTAAAAATATTACCTGTATATAGATTGAAGATTTTTTACCAAATTTTTTTTTAGTAAGTTATGAGCATTTTAAATTTTCGTTGTATCATATACTCAAAGCTTGTTAAAAATTGAACTATCGTAAAAAACCCACCCACACACATATATTATGTTTTCAGAGTAAAAATAGGATGTGTGTATTATAGAAAATTCATGCACTCATGTACATATTGTACACAGTGTTATATAAGTATAAAATGTGTATATTATATTTTAATGCTATTGTATACTCAATATGTGAGTTCATGGTTTATTATGTTGAGTTCCGATAAAAAAATAAAAATAGAAAATAATTATGATTTTGTCATTCAATGGGAAGTAGTTAGCCTTTATCCAAATCTGGGTTTAAGCACTTCTCACCTGACGCTTGGACCGATATCTGATTGGTGAGTTTCGCTCGGATTGCTTTGAGGAAGTCCATTATACGCGTTTTCACCCATTTATTGAATCGGCCAATACGTTCGAATGCTTCTGTGATCTTGTTCGTATCGCTGTCAGCCGTAGGCACCGATAAATTCGACGAGCCAAAATTACTCAGCAACAACGCCAAGAAAAGATTGAGTACCTGAAATTAATGATTTATTTGAGCAATGTATTTTTATATTTTGTGATATTGTTATATGATACGTATATATTAGATACGTAATTATAGTTAGTAAGCCCTAGTTTAAGTTTTGATGCAACCCCTATAGTTACCCCCTTTGAAAAAAATGTGACAACTTCTTGGATACAAACATTTTACAATATCTATAACTTACCTACTAAAACTCTACTTTTAATACATACATGTGACAATGTGACATGTAAAATCTTTAGGTTTCTTCTTTATAAAAAAATTAACTAATTTAGTAATTTTATAGAAATAGAGTGGATTTTTAAAAATTTGTTGATGACTAATTTTCAAGGATCCGCACCATGTAATTTTAGACTAACTTGTAGGTTTATTATGTAATGTTGTTTTTAAAAAATCAAAAAATTATCTGGCATAAGTCTAAGAGTAATAAAAATAATGAATATAAAAATCAACAGCTATATATACCATGATTGAAATTTAAAATTTCTTATCAATAACTAGGAATATATTAGATTCATAGATACAATTAAAAATATTGTTTTGATTTTCGAATTACTGTGTTAAACTATAACATCACAGATTATACATAATAATTTGATATTATCGATGAGTTGTGATCATGGTTTTATATACTATATGGATATAATAATAATATTTTATTAAGCATAATAGTAAAAATTAAATTATAGATATTTTACAAAGACAATTGGTTGAATTTGTATACAATTTAAGTATGATCGTGATTTTTACATTATATGATTTTGGTATGATAAAATATGTTCATGTAAGATACATGAATTCAATGAATGATAATAGAAGATGGTTGTAGGTTCTGGATAGCAATTGTTGCACCAATAAATTCCTAAAAAATTGACACCTGCTAAAGTGTTATTTAATCGCCCTACTAAATTCTTGCCCCGAGTAGTACATATTTATCATTCATGTATAAATAGTACTTATACATACCACGAAGTTACCAATGACAACAGTAGCCAAGAAGAATGGTATACACGTTGGTTCTCCGACGTGTAAACAGTCCCACATTGATTCTATCCATTCGCCACATAATACACGAAATACTATCATAAACGAGTGCAAAAAATCGGTGAAGTTCCACCGGGGAAGCTCGTGGTCTTTGAACATGTACATTTTTTCTATAAAAGAATATCATTTCATTTATGTTTTTCATTTGTGTGTTTGAAAATAGTATACAGTACCTGTGTAGTTTTTTCCAAATAACTGCATACCCATGACGGCAAATATAAATATTATTATGCACAAGACAAACGTTAGGTTACCCAAAGCACCGATGGTTCGACCTTTTATGGATATTAAAAGATTCAGTGTGGGCCAAGATTTTGCCAACTTAAATACTCGAAGCTATAATTGAAAATTTCAAAACATTAGTTTAGTGTAATGACGTTATTTTATCACTATATGGCAACCTTAAGAAACCAACAAATACTCACCAAACGAAACGAACGTAATACGGACAGTCCTTGGTAACCCGCTGAGAGCAATTCTACTACAGAAAGAATTACGATGATGAAGTCAAAGATGTTCCAGCCCATTTGGAAGTAATATTTAGGGCTCATCGCCATCAGTTTCAGAGCGGCTTCGACTCCGAATGTCGCACTGAAAAACTGCAATCGTATTCGGAATTAGTCAGAAACTCAATATGGTAAGCTTAATATTATCACTTTCAAGTTTCAACCATTTAATATTGATTTTGTTTCATAGCTAGTCATTCTACGATTAATGCTATATTGCATTACTTACAACGTTGGCCTTGTTGAGGATGAAATCCAATTTGGGATCCATTTCGTGATGATCGAGGGCCATAAATAATGTGTTGACTACAATGCATAACGTGATGTAGAGTTCGACGAACGGATCGAATACTATGAAAGCGAGTCCTTGCTGAAATTTGAGCCACGGCCATCCACAGTCCCACACACAAAATGTATCAATGAACTTCAACAACCATACTTGGAACTTTTCCCGAAAAGTCGGTTCCTCGTCTTCTTCTCCTTCATCCTCGCCATCTACCGCATCCTCATCTGTTGGAAACACGTACACCGTGGACACTGTACCCCAGACACCCACGAGAGTACCCCCCGTTATTACTATTAATATAACATACATTTACTATCTCAGCACTTTTTTGTTTTAATTGCTTATAAAATATTATTCCATCATAATTCAATGTATAATAATTGATTTTACCATTTTCATATTAATCATATTAATACATATTTTATTCAAGAGTCTGTAAAAAAAAATAATTTATTAAATCCACACTCAGTCTTTTAAAAGTATAAAAAATATATATTTTATTCACATTTATTTATTTTTAAAAACGTCCTAGAATAGCTTGATTACGGATTTTTCGAATTCTAATCTAAAGTCTATTGAATAGAATATTTTATGCATAGATCATTTTTTAATGTGGAATATAAAATAATAAACAATCAGTGATAATAAGTGATTTTAAAAACGTTCTTTCATCATTTTTTATCGTTTTGTAATTGTAATAAAAATCCATCTGTGTTATAATCATAGGCAATGTGACTAGGCTTCCCTCGCAGAGGCAGCATTTAATGTTTACTGCCATTAAAATTGTTAGCTCCTTAATTTTTAAAACTAAGTTAAAGATAGTTATTCTCTATTAATCAGTTATTTCCTTAGGGGCAAACTAGTAACAAGGTTTATTTTTTCATCGGTAATTTTTTTCATTACACTAGGCTAGTGGTTTAGTGTAATAATTTTAAGTGGAGCAATTATCGAATATATCGAAAGTATAATTAAAATGTATACAGTTTAGAACATATTGTAACTATCACCTAATAATTGTTGTTCGAATATGTAAATATTTTCTTGACTATTGACCGGGCGTGGTGGTGATTTTACAAAATGGCAGAGGCAGCACATGCACCTCTGCTTCCACCGTAGTCACGCCTATGGTTATGCTTATAAAATACTTTAAAATATATTTAAGACACGTTGTCAGAGTAAGACATCATGAGATCAATGTAGTGGTTTTTTTGATATATCAAAACTTTTCTTGTTCTTAAAAAGGTAAGTATTCTAAAAAATGTGAGTATGAATGTCATTATTTAAAATCGTTTACATACAAGCGAATTATTGTAATAACATTAAATATAATTTGAAAAATTAATTTGCCATCCAGTGATAAATATTAGTAAACACACGTGTGAAGTATAAAAAATAATATTTAATTAATAATGAATTAAGTCAGTTTGATAAACTTATTGATTCTACAAGATTATTATTGTAATTTAAAAAATATAAGCTAATAAAATGTTATTAAATTGGCATTAGTGCAGTATGAAAAATATAAAATATAATAACCTCCAAGCGAATTTACATGTACTTAGAAAGTAAACATGTTTGGTTGCGTCATCGTAAATAATAAAATATAATTATAGATAAAATAAAAAATTTATTTAGAATTTCACTTAAGAATTATGAAATAAAGGTTACAATTTTGTATACGATTGTCACTAGGTATCTACTCTGATTAGTAAGCTGACATCAACTTATGGAATATTTCAAATTATAAATAGGGCTATTTGGTGATAATCATCTAAGTATGTATAATTAGTTTTATTCTTAAGAAATAAATAAATCAACGTAATTAACAGTGAAGTTGTAATGCAGCGTGACTGTCATACTATATTAATATTACATTTCACATTTGTATAAAGTCTTATTAGTAAAATTATCTTTAGAGAAACCATGTATACTTTACGGAAGTTATAAAATATCGTATGAATTAAAAAAATAAATAAAACTATCGATTCCTTTAATTTGTTAAAGTGCAAAATGTTTGATTAAAAATTTAGGTTACAGCTATTGGAAATTAAAACTAAGGTTTTTATAATGTAATTATCTGTAAATATGTTTGTGCTCTGGCTTACATTTGTAATGTACCTAGGGTAAACAAATTGATAAATTCATAAAATAATTCTATTAATTTAGAATTAATTTATTATTATTTTAAACACTAACTTTTTAAAGTAGTCACCAATTCATAATGAGAATGTGTTCGTCAATCACTCAGTAAAATTCGTTCAAAATATTGATGAAACTTAAATTGTATTAAATTTCGATAGCGTATAATTACAATATATTTATTAACAATTACACTATGAAAATTAATTCATAATATCCAATGTTTTATATAGATTGGAAATTGTATTACCTACCTTCAAATTCGTTATGCATGTATATATATATTATATATGTATATATATATATTGTATATTTTGTATTGTATTACATAAAATAAAAAGGTAAATGTGGATTTAATTATCAAACATTTAATAATGTTCAATGGGTTGTCGCTTCGTATTGATTTTAAATATGTTAAGAATAAAAAATGTTGGGTAGCTCGACCCAGCTTTAAAATTATTTATGGTATTATAATAGTTTATACGTTGCTTATGTTATTTATCCTAACTATATATTATATATAATTATTTCTAACTACAATAAAAATATCTAAGTACTGTATAACAACATTTCAATTTTTCTAGTCATTACTATTATTGTTTGCAATCTACATATAAAATGTGATTAATAATATATTATGATACATAAAACAAGTGAAATAAAATATATTACGAAGCTTGATTAGTAGCTAGAGTAGTAAGCTTGATATACCCAAATAAAGTTAAAATATACAAACTATAAGTACTACCAAGATGATATTCATATTTCAAAAAATATCAATCTACGTGATATAATACTCCATGGTAGTTTAAAAAAACCCAATGTAGTAAAACGATAAATATTAATAAAAAAAAGGCGATAGTTATTTTTCTTTTATGGTATAAACTAAAAATGATTTAACGTTCACATAAATATTATTATGATCGCAGACTCTTGGATCTTTGTATTTCATTTCAAGAAGGAGAAGAATTAGACGCCATATTATACTGTCATGCACGGACAAAAGTACTGATTAGCAATTATAGTTATATTAAGAGTAATAAATAATAGAAACACCTTTTGTCTAATAATAATAATAATATTATACCGCACACATGTTCGTGAATTGTTTTTCGTTTGTGGGCACGATGAGTGTGCTGTACAGGGATGGGCTGTATCTCAAATACTTGCGCATATCTAAGATACTCTATCTTTGATAAAGTTTATTTATCTTGTGTCTTTGATTTTATTATTTTATTTAGTATTTTGTAGATTTGTTTTTAAATGTTTTTTCTTGGCTATCTATTTTTTAAAAATTGTATTACGTTAAGATAAAATTTTTTGTTTTTAGAACTATGCAAAAATTTGTTCGAATAATTTGTCTAAAGTTCTTCATGTTATTTCCAGAACTGATTGACGAAATCACAAATATAATCGTAAAACATGCTTCTACTGTCGGAACTTTGAAGTGTATATATTATCATTACTTGTAGTATTAATATTTCTTAGTTTTCAGTCTATACAACCAAAAACTATAGGTACCTACCAAGATAAATAATTAATAAATAACATGGAATTATTTTAGATTTTAGCAATATTCTATACTAAAAATAAAAATAGTACAAAAAAAATTTTGTATTTAAATGTAAACATTGATTTAAGTAACTAATATCTTAATCTACATTTTAAGTATTTTGCCCATCCCTGAAATAAGATAAACCAATAGAACAATAGAACGAAGTGTGCTGCGTCTGGCGAAGGACAACAAATCGTGTCGACAGAGATATAGTGTATGAGCACATATTTTAACATGCAAATCTATACAGGGTGATAGCAATGTATTGTTTGTACAGCGTTTTTTTTTTTGTCTTGGGACATGTATTACGTTATCACAAACACGACGCGTACGACATAAACATAAGACATAAGTAATTACATTATTATTATTATTATACACATTCAACAACGACAACAAAAACAATAAGAAGAATATAAACCATTTGGTTAGGTGCATACCTGCTTTTTCGCTACCTCTACTCTGACGTCCAGCTGCCTGTTCAATGATATCGTTCAACACCATCACGTCTGAAACAATGATCAGTATTATACAAATATATATTATAGCTGCTGCCGATCATTATAATCATTATTGTATCTTTATCACCTGCACACAGGTGTGAATCTATGAATGAGAAAAGAGAGAGCTAGACTCCAAATGTATATAGATACCTGTTATTAACTTAATAATTCATGCATACACTCTTAGAAGCATAAATGTTTAATTATACACAGTTTGAACAAGTGATGAACCTCAAATAAACATTTAAATTATAATAGCTGATACAGATTGATAAGATCATTACATATTTTAATAAATCAGTTAATAAACGAGAAAATAATCTTTGAGAAACCATCTAACAATAATATAAGCTGCTCATCGTCATCATCATCATTATTATTTTATGACGTTAACCCCCTGCGGCCTGCATATAATAAAAAACCCTATAACTATTCGGACACGATCGGTTTACCTCTCATGTCGACAACTGTGTGCTTTTGCGAATCGTTGTACCCGCACTCGTCCACTTGTTGTTTCGATTTGGACATGGAACTCGAATCGTAATCGTCCTGAAATTCAATGCATGATTAGTTAGTACTTGTTAGTATATTGCTACTGTCTGGATGACTTACGTCTCGGTTGTATCTCTGATCGGATGGGTTGAAATAGTTTCTGGCCGACCTCGACCTCAGCTGCCTCTCCTTGGTCATAGGTGGTTTGAACAGATCCGCGTGCGATGTGTACGTAATTCGGGACGTGTGAGACGTATAACTGCTGTGCCTCGAACCGAAGTTCGCGTATGACACGGGCACGATGATGGCGCCATTTTCCTCGCTCATTGGCGTCACAGCGTTCGAGTCGTCGGCGTACGGTAAGTGTTCCTGAAAGTTAGTGACTTAAAATATTTGGAAGCAACGCTAATCACAAATAATGACTAGTCAAAGGAAATAAGTACCCAAATAAATAAGGCCTAAAAAGTGATCTATCTACAGTCCGACAAAATTCTTAAAATCTAAAATTGTATCTAGAAAATTGAAATAATGATTGTATCTGGCTATTGTAAGATTGACGTATGGTTGCGAAGCTTGGACGAAGACAAAAAAAATAGAGAGAAATTTGAGAAGTTTCGAGAACAGAATTTGGAGGAAAATATGTGGACCTACGGGATCCTAAGAAGTCCTATGATGAAACAACAGGGAACTGGTAGAGCCGGTAGAGGATATATAATAGAGAGCTGTACGATATGTTGAAACTAGCACCAGTAACAAGCTTTTATACAATGATTAGGCTGAATAATGAGAAGAGAAGAGAACAAAACAGTTAGAGTAGAATTATAATGGAAACCACATGGCAAGCAATGTGAAGGAAGACAAGAAATAGTGGATTGAAGAAGATTTAAATGATCTAGGAGTTAAATACTGGAGAGAAGCAATACAAGTATAGACAAAAAAACTCTTAAAGACTAGACATGACAGAAGAAGAATAAAAATGTACAATTGAATATAAAAATAGTTTTTTGGGATAGTTCTATCACCGAATTCCTCCCCCCATGTGTGCCACTGCGATAGTCGTTTACACTCCAGTTTTAGTCAGACAAATAGATAACGTAGAATCGAGAAAGGTCGGAGTTTCGTATCATCTTTCACACTTACCTCCGCGTCAAGTAACGTGTTTAAGACCAACGGCTTGGTATCCGCTCCGGTGAACCTAGGTCTACCGTTTCGGTGGGACAGTTGGTGGCTACCACGTGATGCTCGTCGGATGTTGAATGGCGATCCTGGTAGGCTGAGACTGGCCTGGAATTAAAATGAAAAGATGAAAAATGAGCTAGAAAGTAGACTTGGCCGTATAACTGCTGTGCTGGGAAAAAACTCCACTTGTTAACCGATGATCAAAGTTTATAAGAATTACACATATTATTTAAAATTGTGAAGTTCCAATAAATAATATATCGATTGCATACATTATTAATAATAATCGTAGTATAAATAATATCGTTTGTCGATACTAAACGATCATGACTACTCTTGTATTATTGATGTTAAAATAAATACACCTACCGTTTGACTAAAGCAAAATACTTGAACTATATTGACGTAATTATAATAATTTGCAACAATTCAAAACTAAAAATTAATCTTTGTGTTTTTTCCCAATACATTTTTTAAGACGTTGCGACCAGAAAACGAGCACAGCGGCGTACTTTTCTTGTTTTGCCGCTCTGCCTATCCACACTCCCGGTGTCCGAGTGTTTGTCGTGGCTAGTGATCGACACCGATCGCAGGCTCATTTTCTCTCGATGATGATCGTTACCCATCCCCCGGTCTTGGCCACTGGCGAACATATTGTCATAGCTTTGGCACGAAAAGTCCGAAGGCGATTTCGGATGTTGGGTGACGTGCCGCGCTCTCTCCGCACGCTCCGCCACTCTTTCCTCGTGAGCTTGCCTCCGGACCTCCCTGTCTTTAGCCGCTTGTTCAGCTTCCTGAATATTATACATAACACGTTGATTACTACACGTTTTGGAGGTCAATTTCATTGCAAACAACTCACTCTGATCGCTTCTTCTTCGGCTGCCTCTTCTTCCTCTGCTTTCTTCTGCAACTCGTCGTATGACATCGCTACGATAGCTAATATCAAATTGACAAGATAAAACGAACCGAGGAATATAATCACAATGAAGAAGAACATATGCCATGGTCCAGCGGCTCTTAACACCTAGATATGAACATTTCATAACTTTTTAGAAGATAAAATCTAAGTATACGGTGTACACATAATTTAACCATACGTGGTATAGGTTTTTGTGATTCATTATAAATATTTATGTATTATGGATACAATTATTTATATTCATATATATAATACGTGTCACATATAAAAAAAATATTATATAGACTGCCAACGTCAAGTACCTGTTGGTATAATGCTTCCCAGTTGTCTTGAGTCATTAATCTAAATGCCGATAGTAAAGCCCATGCAAATGTATCAAAACTTGTATACCCATAATTAGGATTTTTTCCAAAACCCTGGATACACATATAACCTTCTTTGCATTGACTAAATACAAAGCAAAAATATAAATGAATAATAATTACAATCTAAAATGTGAATATGACGTTACTCATCTTATAAATTATACTTACCCAGCGCCTGTACCGTTTCCGCATAATGGATAATCTTCTGGTTCCTCATCACCGGGCTGCCAATTTGCTAAATTACACGAATAAGATTATAATTATTACATTATACTCAAATAACTAATGGCTACATTTTTACATACATTTATTCGACATGAACGCAACCCAATTTTCATTGGTTAAATTTCCGGCTGAACCGTCAAGGGGAAAATATTTTATACATTTTTGTGTTAGCACACCCATATAAATTTGTAATCCCAGTAATGCGAACACAGATAGTGAAAATATTGTTAATATTATGACATCCCTGAGGTTTTTCACGGATTCTATCACAGCTCCAACGATAGTCTTTAATCCTAAAAATTAAATCATAAAAAACTTAATCTTTAATCTTTGTATACACAGTATCAACTATATATGACCAAACAAACATATGAGTATAATATAATATTTATGTCGTTTTATATTTACCAGGCACAATGGCTACAGTTTTGAGCGCTCGCAGTACTCGAAATGTTCGAAGAACCGCTAAATTTCCAAGTTCTATACCCATAGTAACGTAACTGAAAATTACAATATTTAACTACACATGCTATAATTAAGTTATTATATTGTACTAGTTAATTTGGATACCGATAGTCCACAAAATATTTAAACCTACCTTCTAAAACAAAGGGCTATAAACTAAGTATGCTAATTAGATAACAATGATATATACTATATATATATGTATGTAAATATAATATATATAAATATATATATTTTAATATGGCTATGTTTAATTAAAAAACCCGATTCTAAATAGTATCGGCTATTGGTCTAAATTCCGAGTAAAAACGATTACACTAAAACTATAAACAAAATATACATTTATATATTTTGAAATTCGATACAAAAAACAATAATAATATATCGACATATACGTCTATTGACATTAATAACGTAGGTACCTAGATACGTAAAATAAAACAAAATGTATTTTCCCATTTTCAATTAGCGCCATTTTTTTTTTTTTTTTTGAAAGTAAATAAACTAAAATTTGATTTTATCGTATAGCGCCCTGCCAACCTTAACCCCCTCCCCCTTCCATCACCAAAACACAAATACATTATATTTTCAATTGTGGTTATATCGCCCTAATAACGGTATCTACAAATCTACTTCTACTACTCACGCTAATGCAATAACAATGAAGTCTAGCCAATTCCATGCATCTCTAAGATAGGTGAAGTGTTCTAATATGAAACCTCGGGCCATTACTTTCACAGCCGATTCGAATGTGTAGATGCCGGTAAATATTACTCTGGAAACGATTAGATTACAATATGAAACATAAATTATAAAAATCAATAATCATCCTAACGCTACATACACATAATAACACTATCCTCAACAATTTACCAAGTTTGCTAGCGATCTAGTATGTATAAGCTAAGACTCACTAACGTATAATAATAATAATAATAATAATAATCATTAATTATACAAATTTCGGTTCTAATAAAATATAATATAAACCTAAGGTTGAATAAGATTATAAATTAAACATAATATATGTGTGAAACGTTAGATATTATTATAGGATTTAATAACAATAACAATAATACCTAATAGTAATAATAACAATAATAACAATAATAATAATAATAATAATAATGATAATAATAATAATAATAATAATACCTAATAATAATAATAATAATAATAATAATAATAATGACAATAACAATAATAATAAAAATGAAATAAAAACAAAAACAAAAATTAAACAAATAGACTGTAAGATTTTAATAAAAACAAGTTTTACTATAATTGATTAACTTACTCAGACGCTTCAATAGTCGGAGTTGGGGGCATTATCATGAACACACAGTTTGTAAGTATAGTAGTGATGATTGTTACAGAAAATATCGGGTGGACTAATATGTAAATAGCCACCCGGCGGATAGGGTTGAAGGGGTCGAGTGCCCAGAGGCCGTCGGTGGCGCTGAACCTGAAGATATCTTTTCCTTTGCTAATTACTACAAAAGTCTGCGAAAACAAAAACGAAAAATGTGATGGATGGTCGTCTTAGGCAACGGAGTGTCACCAAACGACAGTATTTTTAAAACATGTACGGACGTGGCATTATACATTATAATAATAGTATTTATATGTACAAGCAGTGACCACTCTGCCACAGACGTCTCCACCGCTGCCCCTAGACCGGAAAACGGCCTTCTGCGGCAGTGGAGACCTCGTGAGGTGGCGCAAACCCTGGCCGTACTTACTTTTTGATTGTGATAGTAAGGGTCGATATCCTCGAGCGGAACGGACGCTAATTCCGGCGGAAACGTGCCGACCAGACGGACCGGCAGCGGAGCTCCTTGTTCCAGAGTCGCGTCCGGCTGGGGACCTTCATCTTCGTCCTCGTCCTCATACCGAACCTGTTAACAACAGAGCTGTACGACTGTCGAGTCTAGGTCAAACCACCGGTGAGTTTCGCCGGCGAAACCCGACCGAAAGGCGTTTGCATATGACTATGTAATAGCGCTATAATTATAGTATGATAATGTTAGTATAATGACAACAAAATAATACTGCCTATAAATATATATTACAAATTATACGACGATGCAGCGACTATTATACTTGTTGTCTTAGCGTGTTTTATTATAATATAGTTGATGGTATATGAAATGTCGTGAACACTTGTGTACAGATCAAAGGCGAAACTAGAGAGGGAAGGAAAGGGGTGATCGAAGATAGATTCTCGTATTAAGTGGACGCCATGCCCCCGAACTTAATATTTATTTAATACATAATATATAAAATATTTATAATTATGTACACTATACGCACGTCTTGACGGTGTCAAAATTTTAGATTTTCCCTAATCACTGGCTTTAGATAGAGTAATATCATAATATATTTAATGAACTACAGCGGTCATCGATATCGGTCCTGATGTGTTTTGCCGTGGGCATATGATGTTTTTTCAGACGACGTGTTGTTCGCCCTAACCTACAGTTGTTGTTTGTTTATGGATGTAATTTTAATGAGTTTAACTCTGTCGAGTTTATTTGTCAATGACCAGTGACTGCCCCACGTCAATTATTCATATTTTTAATGTTATCTGTGCGACCGTTTCTATCAAACGACGACCTCTCGTGTGTGGCAACATGGCGTTTATATAGGCTCGCAAGTGTATACGAGTAAATATAGATAAAATGTCGAAACGTTCAAAACGTAAAATCGGTGTAAAAGTTATTTATCAGTTAGATTCCATTTAATATCGATAATATTTATTTTCTGAGCACGCGCGTTATGTACTTTACGGACACCTATAATGTGCGGATAATTGAATGTGGACAGCCCAACGAGCGCAATTCACAGTGCACTTTGACGGTATAATTATGCACGTCGTGTCGGCCGCATACATTTTATACGATGTTCAACCGATTCGATACGACACACGATTTTGTCACGTTAAGTTGCACCACATTGTGTTCGACCACAATGCAAAAGCAGTTATATTTGTTCACGTCATCACCTGGTACACCATAGTACACCGGATCGGTGTACAATACAATGCACTCCTATTATTACGGCGCATCGTAGCCAAACGCATTCCAATATTCCAATTATTAAAGGTCGTGACAATTTTTTTTTCGCACAGCAGGCGCAATCGATATAACGTGCAGGTATATTAATTGAACGTGGGTTTTTCAATTTTATTTTTCACTCGCCGCGTTTAATTCAAACTCTTCAGATGGGTTCATTGGTGGGTGGCACGTCATTGTTTTAGGATACGGAAAATTGAAAAAAAAACCAACACATTTTTTCCTAGAACGAATGATAAGTAACAAAATGTTTTGTTCTCATACAAAAACAAACATCATTAAGTTTGTTTAACCGTTAAACTATTTGCATAAAATGTTTACATTAAGTTGTGTTTTGAACGTTAATGAAAGTAATTTAAACAGCAGTCATATCATTCATGTACTGTAAACTTATGTTGTTATTAGTTTTTCTTATATTAGTTACGTATAAAAACTCTTTAAATGTATCTTAGGATGTAGCTAATTGCACCAGTAGTATAGATATTGATAGGAAAAATGTTTGATCACATTTCATGAGAGTTATATATTTTATTATCTATAAATATGTAGCTTTATTAAATGTTAATTAATTTGAATTTATTTCACAGAGAAACCAATTTTATCGTTAACGTTGTATGTTAAATATTATTTAGCAAACAAAAATTGACCTATTGAAATTTGTAGGTACACAAATAAAAAAAGAATATTTTTTAAAAACGTTTTATGGAATCATATTTTTTTTCACTATATGGTATTGTATTTGAAATTTAATTTTGACTTTTTATCAAAGAACTTGAAAAGTGAATGGAATGAGTATTCACTATAAAGTTCATATCCATTATTATTTATTAGCTTTTAAATTCTGTTGGAACTGTTAAATGAATATAATTAATATCTCATTCCTATAATATAGTAACAATTAATGCAATTTGAACTTACAATTAAATACATAGGTTTTGTCATAAAATTATTGTTTCTATATATTTTTTTGGACTGATGACTAATGTTGATATAAACATTTGTATAATTATGGTCCAACCAATATACATTTATGGTTAATCTTTAATTAAAGAGTAATTCCTTGATAAGTTTATTAATCAAGTTTAATTAATCAGCTGAATTAACGATAGTCATTATAGCGTTTTAGTGTTATATCATTACTTTAATAGTTTAGTTCAGCTCATTCCTTTTATTTCGAACGTGCTAACTTACGTTTAGTCTAGCGATAACAACTATTCTAGAAACTACTATAACTATAAATATATGCACCTTAATAAATTACAATAACTACTTTAACATTTTAATACAGACCTAACTAAATGTACATTACAATATAATAAAGGTATGTATCAATATATTTAAATATATTATATGTATATATATATATATCTTTTATAACAGACTTTTTGCTTGTTAAGCTCATGTTCATGACTCATGAAACTATACATAATTTAGTATAATAAATTACTTTGACATTATGGTATGTGATACTAAGGATTTGTGTGATGACATGCTTTTTGTACATTTGCTAAAAATATTAAATAGCCAGTAAATTAGTACGTACCTATTATGTACATGGTAATAATAATAAATGTAGATATAATGTATAATATATTATGAATATATATTATATCATGAGACATGAAAAATGTATGAATTCTAGCCTAGTTTGTGGCCTAACTATAAGTATTTCCGCTATTTTTTTTTCTACTTGCTTACGTCTTTATTTTTATTTCTCTTCCATGGCAAGGGCTGTTGTCAAATAATAAAACAAACAACATTAATATTAGATCGTTTCCAGAACTTGGCACAGATATACACTAGTTCCGTCTTAAATTCCACATTTAAATCACATTTAAAGCTAATTGTAGTTTTATTTTGGACGTCAAAAAGTGTTCGGCTATAAATTACGCTTCCAAAAATATGGTGGTAGGGTCAAAATTTAACGACGAGAACGTGGGATGGACTCTGGCCGACTTGGCCAGAGTTCAACCAAACTCACCTCCCCTTCAGCTCTTTTTTCCTCAAGTTCTTTCTGTTTAGCATGGTCTTCAGCTATGCGCTGTTCGATGGCCCTCAGTGAATCGCGGGTGAACGGACGGAATAGGCTTTTTTCTTCACTGGAGAATGAAGAATCGGTGTCAGCAATGGACATGGTCGAGTGCACCTCTTATACCCTCGTCGGCCTGCCCCCTCCGGACTGCTGGAGAGGGCTCAAGCACGTTAACCCTCTGAAAGAATAATATAAAGTGCTCGAATCAATACTTAATTGACAACTTTTTACTGTTCGGTTATACATAATTTTAGGACCCAAATACGAAAAAGTTTTCTGACATTAATTATGAAAATGGTTTTCAATCGATACATTTTTAATCTTCCATTTTTCATAGTTATTATTGGATAATTTAATATATTAATATTTACCTCTCGTCCATCCGGAAAACGGCACCTGTGGCTCTCTATTTTGGATACATCCCTTAAACAAGACAGTTTGAGCAGGGTTTGTACACTTAATAATCTGAAAATACCAACAAATTTAGATTAAACCATATACCAACTATTATTTATTAATTATGATGACTTAGCTGAAATTAAAATTATTTTTAAATGATTAAGTTTAGGTAGTTATTAAATGTTTAGTGTTTTATTATAAATTTTAACAACATAAATATCTTCTGGACAAGTAATAGATTAAAGATTTAGAGTTATAGATTTAGACTCTAATGAAGTATGCCACAGATTTCGGTTTAATAATGGTTATTGAACACATACAAATTAAATTAAATTTATAAAGGTTTTTATTTAATTTTTAATTATAGTTATTATATTATATCCCAAAAAAACCATGATATATGGAAAATATATAGCTGGGCTATCTTCATTTAAATGTATTTGGGCAAGGCGTAGCAAATTACATCGATTTCTATTCGGCCGAACCGTGTACTATACCGTAACAGTAGCAGGAGTAGCATGAAGCGACAATACACGGCAAAAAAAATAAAATGAAAGAGAAAGTAGAGAGAAGTATAAGGGAAGCTAAAGATAAAGGGAGAAGTGACGGCGGTGGAAAAGAAGAGATAGACAGAGGAAACTACCAAGAAAAAGAGAGAAGGAGGTTGTTGACCCGAAACTCTCCCAGGTCTCGCTTAAACCAAGTACTTTATCCGCATACGTAATTATTGTTTTGTGTTAAAAAAAAAGTCACTACACCCAATTTTAAACTTTATGACATGAATGTCGTTCGAAAGTCTCGAAATTAATGTCCTACCCGTTGTAGTAAACGAGTAAAAAATGACCATTAGCTGTTTAGCATAATATTATCTTTGAAATATCTATAGGTTAGGTAATATACGTTCTTACAATATAAGTAATTACATTTAGTATGAGAAATTATTTACAATAACGATAATTTTTATTTTTGCGAGCTTAAATATAACAAGCAAATTAAAAAATATAAATTTCCGAATGGAAACTCCTCAAATTGTTGACATTATAGAGTAAATGCTGGACGAATCTATATCGAATTATAATAATTATAAAAGAGAATTGTCCAATGGTAAGTACCTTACGTCCTTACCATCGTCGTTTCTATTGGTGCATACATTTTACTTTGGATATTTTAATACTATAACTATAGACAAACCCATTAATGACATTATTATCATGTTAATAATTATCATTACCATTATATATTTCATTCACTCATTGTCCGAACAGCAAATGCAATATCTTGTCCCATAATATTATTTGTCGGTCTAAATGTACCCAGAGGAATCGTTGTCACTTTCATGAAAACATCGTGAACTCTATGTACCCTAGGTACAATAAACGAACCAATAACAATAAAGTATTTCTTCTTGCTCAAGTATTGTACGAATAAAATGTACTCGTATGTATTTCATAACAATACATACACAAATATAAATATATATATATATATATATATATAGAGGTACCTACGTTATTTATAAATGTATATATATATATATATATGTACACGAAACAACGCAGGGAAGTACTATCGTAGGTATATGTATGGTATAATACATGTATGCATTTACTCCCGAACAAAGCTATAGCTTTTATAATATTATATATTTTCTAAAATGTTTATTGATTATTTCTTACAGTTTTATTACATTTCTAAGGTTGGTTGAAGAGGGCGTGTGTACTTGCGGGTACAAACAATTGGCTTTGTCCTTGCGCACTCGAATTATATGCGTTACGAAAGTATACGATGCTTAGTGAATATTTCATTGCGAGTTTTATCAATTGTTTACAGAGGATTTATAACATATGAATATGGGGGACGACTACACGTGAGTCTTTTTTTTTATATTATGTTTACCTTTTTTGTACAGTCCATTCAATATTGAACATGGTGTACATGATAGATACACAACGGACGTAATGGCCTTAATAAATCTAAGCTATTATATTAATTGGGCGGTATTGGTATTCTCTATAAGAAGTAGATGTAATGGTAGGTGGGGTACGCTATAATAATATTATAGACTGAACATACAAATAATGTAAAAAACTATTGCATAAATGCATTAGTATAACTATTGACTATGGATGCAAAATAAACATTAAACAAATAAATAAAAAAAGTAGCAATAGTAATGGTTTTCAGAATAACTACATTATTACGACGTGTGCTCTTATTATTTTTCTGTAGTGAAGTTGTTCATGAGCAAAAGAAAAATCGTTAATACAACAGATGAATTATTACATAAACTACTGAGGAGAATGAGCACAATATATACTTCATAATATTTTCTCAGTATACTAAATCTCAAAACTAAAAACACATTAAGACAATATATTTTCAATAAAATATATTATGATCGTATGACGAGTTCTATTTCATACAGTACAACAACATCATTTTTATAAGAAACTGTTAATTATTTTAAAAATACCCTACGTTAAATTATCCTAGAACATTTCGAGTGACCATTATCATATGATATATTTCATAATTTTATAATGATGTGTGTAATTTTTTTGTGACTGTCACCATCTTTTATAGGAGTAAAAATGCTTCAATCAACAATTGATATAAGAATAACATATATAACTAAACAGAAATTTTCTTTTTCTTAACAATTGTGAAAAACAAAAACAAAATAAGGAAAACGGGAACTTTTGTGCTCAGCCAATTTTAAGAAAATATTTACAATGACATTTAGATTAACTCTAAACGATTGTCTATTTATACTGTATTACTGATAGTAAAAAAAATTGAAATAATAGCAATATATTTTTTCCTTGGCCTTTCACTCCCGACTTTATGAGGTCAGCAACCTTTGTGAGTTGTCCTAAACCTCATCAGGGCACTTTTTCTTTACTTACGCCAGCTATTCTGTATATTCATCTTTCCTCCGGTCTTCCCCTTCCCCTCTATACCAACAGTATGCGTGTATAATAAAATATACCTACGTAGTAATAAAGGCTGGCAGATCATCTCGGCTCAAAATTGTTTTTCGTATTCAGTGATTCATCATTGAATTCAAATTAAGCGCATACATTACAGCTAGTGACCTACTCAATGATGAGGTATATTAGATACATACTGTACATCTATGTACCTTTTTACTATCTTTTTATTATTTTTACTAATTAAATATAACAATTGTAACATAATATCTTGAAATAGGGTAGGTAATTTATTAGAGACGATGTTTGGAACATTAATTACCCTAGACATTTTTTGTTTGGTTGAATTTTAACGTAGAACATCATTCACAAACGTTGTAGGTACACGTTTTATTGTTTGTACTGTTGAACTACCTATAGTTGAAGTACGATTGTTCTATAGAAATTAAACTCACTTCGAAATAAACTTTTATAGTAAATACAAAACAATTTTTTTACATCGTAAGTATTATCATTTATCACAGAATATACGAAACTGGTAATATTGACCCGTCAGCGGCCTACTGGCCTTTATATTTCGAAGAAATCATTCACATGGCGTGTTGTCTCAGAGTTACTATAGCATATCCTAGTATAACCTAGAACATTTTACTTTCAGACAAATCTATTTTACTCTATTATTTTCATATTGAAGTAAATCAAAGAATATTATCTAGAGTTCAGCGTAAGATGTGTATGATATTTTAATTTTTAAGAAGTTATGACTGTTTTAAAATGTACATACAATAAACGATTTTAATGGGTATTCCTGAATTGGTATATCTTAACCATACCCGAATTACAGTTGAAAAATAACAACTTTAAATCGATATTTTAATAATATATTGTTGATCGTTGGTTTTATAAAAAAAGTTTCGTGTCAAATATGTATTTATCTATAGGTACATTATCAAAAGCTTCTGTTCTAATGTAGGAACTTTTTTACACACTGTCTGGGTCGGCAAGGAATTTTAAAACATTTTGACTTTATGGGTCGTGACGATTTTTAGGAATTGTTTCATACTGTATATTTTATTATCACTTGTCTTTTACCCTAACCATTCGCCAATAATTGATATCCAAGTGGGAGGTATAAATGGTGTCTAGCGGCGCCGGAGTTTGATGGTATAATATATAAATTGTTATACCCACGCGAATTCGACTATTCAAAATAATAGTGCCGAAGAATGATACCCGATATGTGGACTTGAAGTTTTTGGGGGGGCGTTTGGGGAGTTTGGGTGTGCGAGAATTACCTTTGAATCTTATCAACTTCAGTAGTATAATAAGAACCGAATAATATACGATATGGTGAACGACATAACAGTGAAAAATTTCAATTACCTATTCCTGTACAGTTACTTATACACTATATCGATTTGCCGATTTCGTTATGTGGAAAAATAATGAAAAACACGACTTTTGAAACTAAAATTGTAATGGTATGTAACTGGATTTATAAAATATGACTTTTGTTGGCATTATAATGTATAAATAGCACGCACTCTGCAAGTAAGGTATACCTTATACATCGACAGCCTACGATGGAATTAAATTAAAAATCTATTATTATTTCACAGTTGCAGCCACAGTCACAGTAATATTCAAGAAACACGTTTACAGTAAAAATGAGAATCTCATTGTTGAGTTAAATACATATAAGACTCGATTCTATTTCCTGTGGACAAGGTTGGACCAATAATATAATAAGATCGTTCTATCGTTTTTACAGTACAGAAGACCACGCATTTTTCAAAAACTTGTTTATTTTATATTGCAGTTGTCCTGCCTACCTACGCACTGTTCTGGTATCTTTTGTATCCAAAAATCGTGTAGAAATTCGTAGGTGTCGAGTACTATACTGATACATTTTTACAGCTTTGTGAAATTTTCGTGACACATCGATAGAGTCGCTTGTAAAATATAAAAATAAATAGTGGGTGGTGTTTGGGCGAATACCTAGCAGCTTTATTGCGCTGCACGAGGCAACGTGGTTCTGGCGTAAACTCCATGAACCCCAATTGTATAATAGCAATATATAGTACAGGTCACGCAAACTACTATGGTCGTCGCATTGCAGCTTCTCCCAACTTTCCA